TTGTACATTATTTAAAGTTTGTACTGTTGATTGTTAGTACAATACAATATTTGTTTGTCATTAACAAGATATTTATTTTTGTTTAACTATATTGCTGACTTGTTTATAAAATTGTTTNTTATTCGGTGATAACAAAACATTTTTTATGACTACTTTTCAAATTGACGTAATGATGATGTAATAATGCGATGAGTAGTTGTAGTAGCTGCTGTTGTTATTTAATTTATTAAATTATTTTCAAGATCACAAACAATTGTTGTTGAAGTCGTTGTTAAATGTTATATACGATGGTAGAATTCGGATATATATGATGTTGGAGTGTGTGTGTGTGTGTATGTGTATGTGTGTGTGTGTATGTATGTGTGTGTGTACTCTGTTAATATGTACTGTATTAATACGGCTGGCTATGTCATGCTATGCTTACTCCGTTGTGTTCGGCGCCCTAAATCTCTTGTTATGAAATAGTTGCCATGAGTCTTCGTTGTTGGCACTTGAGGTTTGTTGTTGTTTCTGATCTTGTTGTCAGTATATGTTGTTTGGTTAGATTGTGTTGTTATTGCTGTTGCTGTTGCTGTTGTTTGTTGTTGTTGTTATTGCTGTTGTTGTTGGTTGTTGTTGTTGCTGTTACAGGATAGTTTAGAGCAATGGCAACAGACATGAGAGCGATAAGTTTGTTATAAAAAAGTAACGGTGTCTCATCATAATGAAGATTTTATGGTATGAATGATGGTTTTGATAACAAACGCAAAAATTATGATGAAAATGTGAGTGTGGACGTAAGTTTTGTTTGATCATGGAAGATAGAGATTGACTATGAGAAAGGGATGAGTAACTCATTCCGCAAAGTTATTACCTAAGAAGATGTTTAATGCATAGTAAAGTGAATTGTCTATCTTGAATATAATTGAAAGTGGATGGTATCGAACCTATGGCATAGTGATTAAAACTTGAAACAAAGATGACAATGTTGACTTACATGAGGAGGACGTTGGTGGTGATAAATGTGATGATGGTGACTACGATGGTGTCTAGTACGATGACGATCACCTGAGAAATCATTAGAGAACTGTTTTCATCATGCCACGAAATCAAATGATGAAACTGCTTGCTGCTTGGGCTTTAAAATTCACTTCAAGTCTTCAAGGGGCTTACTTTCTTGTGCTCATTCATTGACTCGAAAACATAATTATTGCGGAAGCGTTCGTTTATATGTGCGTACTCATAAAAACGCATGTACGTGCATTCACATGTGTGTACTTGTATAGCGATCCATTTAATTTATTTGTGTTTCTTAGTTTGTGTGTGTGTGTGCATGTGTATTTGTGTGTTTGTATGAATTCACGCTTGCATGTTAACTTTCAACTGTCTGCCCGCATAAGACAACGACCATTCTGATGCCTTGCTGGTGCTTCAATGTTACAATGTTTCAACAAACTAAATAACTTATGAAATGAGCAAATGTGTACGTACATGTGTGTGTATCTGTGCTTTTGTGTACCTATGCGCGTGTGTGCATGTGTTCGGGTGTCGGTATTTATATACAAACAAAAATGTCCGCACACCAGCATTCACTATTTGCTCATTTGTTTAATTAAGTGCGAAACTAAACAATACCTTCAATACATTTTTTTATCTGGCGAGCATTTATTGTTACGAAAATTCAAAGCATGAATGCAGTGACGTGCATGGGCTCTCTCCACGAACTCTCATCATTGAACATGCTGTCAAACAATCACATGCATGTTCTCATTAATCAGTAATATTTCACACAAATCCACACGCAAACAAACACAGACAACATTATTATAAATGAACCGATTGCTCACACACGCAAGCAACAAGTACATAGACACCACACACACACACACCACACACACACACACACACACACACACACACACACACACACACACATGAAATGTTTAGCGGGCAGCGGGCAATTACAAGTGACAACATGACAATTATTACTAATACCACCGTTATCATCATCATCATCGTTGTCTTCAATAGCAAAATCAACATCATCACCACGCAGTCATCGTCATCATTCATTTTTATTTCATTTTTTCTTTTTTCTTCTTGTCTTCCTTCCCTTCTCGTTCACTCCTTTCCATATCCTTTTTGCGTCTTCATGGTCACGTATTTGCTTGTTGTCGATATTTATAAAAAAGAGTCACATATTCGTTCGTTTATTCATGCATGCATTCATTCATTCATTCATCCTTTCAATCATTCTTTAATTCAATCGATTGTTCATTAGTTTGTCTTTTCATTCATGCATTTATTCATTCATTCATTTGTTTTTGTTAATTCTTTTTGTATACTTTTTAATTTAAATTTATTTTTCAAATCTTTTCACCGTCAAATTTTCTAGAAAGTTTTTCAATAAATTTTTCCACATTTTAGTTTACCTCCAACATCTTTTCCTCCTCAAACATCTTTTCCTCCTCCAACATCTTTTCCTCCTCCAACATCTTTTCCTCCTCAAACATCTTTTCCT